AGAAACAGTAAACCAGGACACTCCTGTAGGCATCTGAGCTAAGACTTGGAAGTATCAGGTGGGTAGGCACCACAGCCTCAGTTTCTCCCAGATCCTGTACCTGTCTATATTCGTCATTTGGCTTTATGACAGGGAGAGTAGGAGAATTATCATGGGATGGCACAGCACTGGTGGCCTAAATTTAGTGATTAGAGGTAATAGTCCTTGTCTAGTTTCAGGTTTTATAGGATATCGCTTTGTGTGTGGGGAGACTGGGGTTTGAACTCAGGGCTTCTCACCTGCACAGCAGGCGCTCTACCACTTGAACCACACCTCCAGTCCATTTTGCTGTGGTTATTTTGGAGATAGTGGTGTTAGGAACTATTTCCCCTGGGCTGGCTTGAACCTCGATCTTGCTGATCTCTGTCTCCCAAGTAGCTGGGATTACAGGCATGAGCCACCATGCCTGGCTAGGATATGGATTTTCTTGAGGACAATGGGAAGAATTATTTAAATGAATGACAACATTTAGTGTTTTGTCAAGTATTTCTTTGTCCCAGACCTGAGGGCCCACTGCTAATAAAATCTCCTCAGGAACATTATCGTTCTCTTTAGGTGGGAGGCTTATTAAGACCCCCAGAAGTGGCAAGGGCTGGCCAGCGTTTAGGTGTATAGTAGCATCTAAAGTAGAAGGAATGCCCTCATCCAATAAAGGGGGTGGACACGCTGGCCATACAAGGAATCTTAGGAAATGAGTCTCAGATCTGCAGGTGGGAATGACTTGACTTCTGAGGGCCCGTCAACACTGGTTGGTGTACAGCTTATCTTAGGCAGGGATCCAGAGAAATGAGCTGAGCTGGCGTCAAACAGCAGTCCTCCTGATCCCAACCTCCAAAGGAGCTAGGATTAAAGGCATGAGTCACTGGTGCCTGGCTAAAAATCCAATTCTTTAGTACAAGGAATGCTACAGACAGTCTCCATCCTCATAGTCTAATGCCTGGAGAGAAAGAAAGAAGAAAATGAAAGGAAAAAAGCAAAAAGAACACAGACTCTCCATCTATTTAAGACTCCTTTCCAGAGCCTCACTACTTTGTCTTGGGGAAAGAACATCTTTCCTCATGGAGTAAAGTCGATAAATCTCCAATTACCCAGCAGGGGGTGTCCATCCTTGGTGAGTACTGCAGCCCCCCACTCTTTTATCTGGGGCCTCTTTTTAGATCTGGATGGCCAGAAATCCAATTACTTAGATACAATGAGACAATGAGGGCTTAGAGGGAACACAATCTTCTTAGTAGATGGCTTCTTTATCTACAACAACAACAAAAATACAGCTCCTTGCAGGGGTCTGATTTCTGAATACAAAATTTACATTGTCACATCAAGAGAAAGGACAGGGACCAGTTGATTTGTTTTCTGTCTCTGTGAAAAGAATTCTTTCTCCATTGAAGCTTGTGGTAAAAAGCCATTTCCTTGACAGTAGACCAAATACAAAAACTACAGACAGTCCCATCCCTCTTCACAGAAGCTAATTTCCTTTATATCACTTTGAAAGCTTGAAAGTCTCCTGCCAAAGGCGGTTCCTATCTGCTTCCCCAATTTATAGGGATATGGACTTCTCCAAAAAATTGCTGTAGGATTTGGTGCTCTCATAAAATCATGAAGAGGTAAATTCCTTAAAATTTTCTTGGTGATGCTAGGATTTGAACTCAGGGCCTCACACTTGGTAATCACTCAAGTACTCTACTACTTGAGTCACACATTCCCAGCCTGCAAATCCCTTATTATTAAAGGGACAGCAGCACCAAAGACGGGGCTTTTGGATTGTTTTTTTATTTTTTTGGCAGCACAGGGGTTTGAACTCAGGTCCTCATGCTTGTTAGGCAGGCACTCCACCACTTGAGTCACTCCACCAGTCCCTTTTTGTGAAGGGCTTTTTGAGATAGGATCTTGTGAACTATTTGCCTGGGCTGGCTTTGATCCACAATCCTCCTGATCTCTGCCTCCTGAGTAGCTAGGATTATAGGCGGGCACCACCAGTGCCTGGCTTCTTTTTGGCTTTTAACCAGCGGCTTTAACCTTGAACATTGAGGTCCTAATTTTAGACATATAGGCTGGAGAGAAACTCTATAATCCCCTGTCCAAAGCAGGATTTTAAAGAAAGTAGAGGTGAGTTGGGAGCTGGTGACTCGTGCCTGTAATCCTAGCTACTCAGGAGGCAGAGATCAGGTGAATCATGGTTTGAAGCCAGCTGGAGCAAATAGTTCAAGAGACCCTATCTTGAAAAAAAGCATCACAAAAAAGGGCTTGGTATGGTGGCTGAAGTTATAGGCCCTGAGTTCAAACCCCAGCACCATAATCAAAACAAAACAAAAGTGGAGGTGGAGGGAGATGGGGTCAGAACAGCCACTTAAGATTACAACTACCTCTTGTTGATGGTCTCAATTCCTGTCATAGTTGAGCCTCAGGAGACAGGGAGAGCCGGCTGGACCCGTTTCCCTTTGGGACCGGCTGGAGCAAAGCATCTCCCTTCCCTTCTTCCCTTTTGTCTGTGGTCACCTTTGTGGAGGGCCCATCGGAGAGGGGAGGAGCAGTTAGTGGAACCAAAGTATTGGAGGTCGAAGGTGCAGATGGGCAAATGGCTGAAATACAGGCAGAACAGTAGGTAGAGGAGGTGGAAATAGGAAGCAAAGCACCACATTTTTGGGTCTCTAAATGTAATGCTTTTGTGGATGGCTTCCTAGAGCATCACCCCAGCACTGAGAAAAAAAGAAAAGGAAGGGAGGGAGGGAGGAAGAGGTAGGGAGGGGACGCTCCTATGTGGTAACAGCAGCATCTGGGCTATTTCATGTATTTCATGCTTACTCCACATGCCACAGGAGCTTTGCTGTCCCCATTTTGCAGATAAAGAAACAGAGGCTTTGGCACTTGCCCAAGATCCTGCAGCTGGTAAGAGCTGGGATTTGAACTTGGGCTCCACAGTGTGTTCTTCTAAACTGTATGAGACTCTTCTGAGTCTCTTCTCGAGGTTGTAACAAGTGAATGAAAACTTGCTAGCTTAAAAAACAACATATATGGACTGGAGGTGTGGCTCAAGTAGTAGAGTCTGCTTTGCAAGGAACAAGCCCTGAGTTCAAATCACTATCCTACCAAAAAAAAAAAAACCCTAAAATAAGAAAAACAAAAACTACACATATTTAATGTCCTACAGTTTTGGAGGTCAGAACTGTAAAATCGAGGTGTAATAGGGCTGTCCATTCCTTTCTGGAGGCCCTAAGGATGGTTTGAGACAGGCTAAAATTAGGAAAAGTTTGGGACTCAAGAAAAATGATGCGTTCCAGATTAATCAGGGACCGCCCTCACCTGGCCTGGAACCACCCACGCCCCGCCCCACTCACTGATTATTGGATGGGAATCACTTGCTTCCTCCCTTCCCATAGGTTAGTGTAGGTTTTAAAAGCACCTGGGGAAGAGAAGCACACTCTCTGCCTCCAGATTCCATCTATACCCACCATCCTCCTCTTTGTATTTCCTTTTCTTAACTTAATAAACTCCATTTACACCCACGTGCCCTATGATGGATTCTTCCTGGTGGCACACAAAGAATTTGGAAGTCTGATCACAGACAGCACCAGTGCCATTAACAGATTAATTTCCATTTGTTTTGTGTTTTTGAGATGGGGTCTTGAGCTTTGAGTCTGGCCTAGAACTCTATTCTCCTGCCTCAGCCTCCTGAATGCCACGCCTGGCTTATTTCCCTGCCTTTTTCAGCTTCTGGAAGCCACCAGCATTCCTTGGCTCATGGCCCCTTACTGGTGTCTGTTTCCAGTCTCACCTCTCCTCTCCTTCACTCTAACCCTCCTACCTCCCACTTATAAGGACCCTTGTGACGACATTGGGTCCATTAGGATGGTCCTCCCCACTCAAGCTTCACTTAATCCCATTTTCACAGTCCCTTTTGTCACAACAGGCCTTGGGAATTAGGATTTGCATATCTCTGGGGGGCAGGGGAAAATGATTCTGTGTACTGCAGCACGCACATGGACGAAAACAGTTCTGTATGGCCACCATCCTCTTTAAATCCTCCCATGGCTCCTGTGGGCCCCAGTACAGGGCCCCTGCCTACATGTAGGTTTTTGCCAGTTCCTCTTGCCCTAGTCGGTCGGCCCTGCCTACAGCCAACTCCAGGCTTCCTCCAACTCACTCGACATAACTTCCCCAGCCTGCAATGCCTCCCCACTTCCTTCCTCATCCGGCTGGGCTACTTATTCATCTGGTCCCTGGCTGGTTTTGCTTCCTTCTGTCTTCCAGAAGTATTTACTCTAGCTCCACTCCCTGCCCCCACCATATGCCCGTGGCCCCATCCTAGCTCCAAAAGGGGTTCACGGGTGCCCTTGTGGGAGGGCAAAGAGAGGACTCTCAAGAACCTGTCCCTAAGTGTGTGCACAGGTGGATCTCCAGTCTGTGGTCACTGGAGAGTCAGTGCAGATCCCCAAGTCTAGCTGAGGTTGTGTTACTGGGCATTGCACACAGCTGCTGACATCCATTATCATATGGGACACTCAACCAACTGAAGATGCTCCTTGTCACATGCTGGGATACAGGTTATGCCTGTCACATTATGCTGTCACATGGCAAACAGATCTCAGGGAATCTAGCTGAGGGACAGTGTTCACATTGGTTAGTGTCTGCCCTTGAGCCTAAGATCTCCTGCTAACTTATTAGTTGTGTGTCTTTGAGGAAGTTACTTAGCCTCTCTGCCTCACAGGCCTTACAAGTTTTAAACATGCTGTGGCATATAGCAATCAGGACTGAGTTAGCTATGATTATTTTTGCTTCTCAGTCAGAGCCACTAGTGGTCTTCACATCCCCATTTCCGCATGCCACCATATTTTGTAATGTCCCCTCAACTGGGCACCAATTCTTCCTTACTTCTCTTTCACAACCCTGACTTCCCTGCTGGGGCAGGTCCCATGATAGGTCTGACAGCCCAGGACAGAATTGCCTGGTGACATGTTCCTCTCCCTGACAGCCCCATGTTCCTCCTGGACTATGAGCCCCTTGAGGGCTGTAACCCAAGGGTTCTAGGTCACTGCTTTGTCTCTAGGACCCAGCGTAGGGCCCAGCACGCAGTAGTGGCTCAATGAATATTTATCGAACGTGTAAAGCCAGGAACACTGCACCCCCACCCCGCTGAATACAAACTTCTAAATTGTAAACATAACATTGCATCAGACCTCAACCCCCACAAAGGCAAGAAATCTGGGTAACAAAAACAGATTGGTCATTATTGTACAGCTGAAGTGGGAGTGGTCCCGTGGAGAGCACAGGGCTGTCTGTCTTCTGAGTGAGCTTCTCCCTGGACCCAGGTCTCGGGAGCCGAGCACCTTGTCCACATAGGCCTCTCCAGCTCCCCCACCTTTGGGAGAGGCGCAGGAGTGTGAAGTGTGGGGCGGAGGAGGGCAGAGGCCATCTGGTGGGATACCGGGGGAGGATCACACCAGCTCGCGCCCGCTGGCTGCTTTGTTGACTTTGGACAGGCCTTCCCGGAACCCAGAGTCCGTCATTCTGCGGGTGGGAGTAGACAGCAAGGAGGCCTTTCAGGAGCTGAAGGGCAGCAGTCCCTGCCCACCCCAAGGCCCCCCCAGGGACTGCCTCAGCCCCGCCCACTCTCTCCCAGCTTCCCAGGTCCTGCCCCCCAGAGCAGCTCCTCACCCACCACTCCACACCTAACCCACCACTCCACACCTACCCTAGCTGTACCTCCCCGTGGCCCTAACCCGGTCCCCAGATCAGCCCTGCCCCGCCCACCCTGCGGGGTGGCTTCGCTGGTCTACTCCCAGTGGCCCCAACCCCACACCTGGTGGTACTTAGTCTACCCCCAGAGCTGCCCAGTTCCTGCCTACCCTGCCTTCAGAGCTGCACACCCCATCCCACTTCAGCAACTCCCGGAGAGGCCAATGTTCCACCCCTCCCTAATCCTCAGCCCCACCCCCAGAGGCGCTCCATACTCACACTTGCTCCATCTGCACATCCTCCTCATCATCCTGGGGCAGTTGTAAGTATGGGTTGTCCCCTGTGGGCTGGAACTTGTAGCCCGTGAGCACAAAGAAGGTGAGAGTGGAGCCCTCTACCAAGAGCTGGGGGACAAAGGGGCAGAGCAGGAACGTCAGGCACACCACCACCTGCACTGTCTGATCCCCTTTCCAGACTACCTGAGCCCTGCCTCTTAGTTCACCTGGTACAGCCACTGCCACTGGAAGGGCACAGCCACCCGCAGCAGGATGGCGATGATGCGTGTGAAGTACACATAGCAGATGACCTACAGGGGCACGAGTGGACGTGCGACAGAAGAACCATGGGGATGGTGGGGCTGGGGGTGGCTAGAGTAGGGACCTTGGAATCGGGGGGATGGGGGGCAGAAGCCAGAGGGCACTCACTCTGAGGTAGGCGGGCAGAGTGGCCAGGTGCGGGTTCCAACATGCTGGGATCCCTCCCTGCCCCAACCCCTCCCCAGACCCCTCCCTGTGTGTGGGGATAAGGCTCCTACCATGACATAGTAATGGCGAAATAGCTTCAGCTTGGCCAGGTTCACTGCCACTGAGGGGTGTGCACACAGTGGTCAGACACAGTGGTCAGACAGCCACTGAGTGCCAGAAGGAGAGAGTAGGGGAGGGGAGGGGAGGTCATCTGGGCGAGTGTCCCAGGGGCAGGGGGGTGGAGAGAAGGGGGCAATCAGAGAGGAGGGAAAAGACAACCAAGCAGGGCAGAGAGGCTGGGCATGGGTGTTGGAGAGAAAAGAGAGGACAGATAGGGGCACGCTGTGGTGTGGAGAGAGGAAAGGGACTCCAGAGGGCAGAAAAAAGGGCCTGGAGCAGGAAGGGGGCTGGGGACAGAGGGTCCTGAGCAGTGGGACCTCACCCTTCCATCTGTGCCAGATGCGTCCTGGAGATGCCGGATGGACCTTGGAAGTGGAAGGGGACACAGGGCAGGGTCAGTGCAGACTCTGCCCTGGGGTGGGGTGTTTCAGCCAGGGTTGGGGCCAGGTCCAGGTCCTCACCAGACAACAGGGAAGAGGATGGTGCCACAGCAGATGAGGTCCACTAGGAAGAGGATCTCCTTCCAGAGTCTATAGTTGCTGGCACCCTCCTCATGGGACTCGATGACTATGTATGCCACATTGGCCAAGACCTGTACAGCCCGAGGGGTGGATCAATGGGTGCCACCTGGTCGTATCTCAGATGCCTGCTCACCAGAAATGCAGCCCCTCTGCCCCACCACCCACGGCCCTGCACCACCCTCAGCCCCTCTCCAGGGCCTCCAACCCCGCACCTGCAAGGGGATCACAATCCCAAAAATCTTCTTCTCCTTGTCCGACAGAACGTACTTGACGAAGGCCCAGCCCGAGCCGATCAAGGCGATGGTGATGAAGAGGAGCGCGCCCTTGAGCCTGGGGAAGCGGGCCTGATGATGAGGACCGACTTTTCCCTGCCGGCCTCCCGCCACCTGCTGCAGAGGGGCCACTCACAGGTGTGTGATGTAGTGCATGACGGCGAGGCCTTCGATGGGGTGGCCCTGGCTGTTGATGAAGTAGTAGTTGATCTGGAGGCGGATGGATGGATGGACAGTGAGACAGGAGGATGGGTGGCTACGTAGATGGTCGGGGACAGGATGGTTGGACAGCTAAATGAACTGAGTTCCAATCAGGACATTGGGTGTCCATGGACAGTCACCATGGACTCCTCATCCCTCTGGAACAATGAAGGGATGGTGGTGGTGGGTGGGTGGTTAGACAATGAGGTGGACGGTCGTGGCTGGACCTGGGGACAGTGAGACTGGAGGGTGGATAGGGAGAGCTGGACAGGACAGGGCAGGACAGGACATGCAGACAGATGAAATGGAAAAGCTGCTCAGCCCAGGTCTGTGGAGATGTGGGGGTGGCCCAGATGTTCCATCCTCCCAGCCGCCCCTCTTGCTTCCAGCCCAAGGTGCTCACACTGTGGAAGAGGAGAGAGATGCTCTTGGTGAATGCCAGGGCCGCCATCAGCCAATGGATCTTGAAGACATTGTACCTGGCAGGGGGTCAGGGGGAAGGGGAAGAGCATGATTGTGGGGGGGATGGGGGGACAGAGGGGGGATGGCAGAGGAGGAGGGTGAGGGCATTACGTGTTCTTGCAGAGCACTGAGACCCAGAAGATGCCAGCAGCCAGGAAGCAGGTGGACATGACCAGGTAGAGCTTGAAGAGAGGCATTTCTCCTGCTGACAGGAAGCCTTCTGGGTTCTTCTCCCGGATCATCACCTGGGAAGGGGACAGAGGTGGTGATGGTGGTCTTGTACTCTACCTCTGGACCTGGGGAACCATAAGTATGCTCTGCAGCAATCCCACTTTCTAGCTGGTGACTCTTCTCCTCTGAGCCTCAGTCTGCCCTAGCTCTCAAATGGGTATATAGCTGTGCTTTGGTATCCTTGAGGAACTGGCTTCGGGACCCCTCCTACCCCAAATACCAAAATAGGAGATGCTTAGGTCCCTTATAAAAAGTGGCACGATATCTGCATAGGACCTGTGCACATCCTCCTGCAGGTGGTCAACCATCTCCAGATGTCTCCTAATACCTAATATAATGTTAATGTTGGGTGCAGAGCTGTCACACTGTATTGTTCAGGAGACAAGGATAAGAAGTCTGTGGGTGTAATCTGAGATGGGTCAAATCCTCCTAGATGGTCCTAGGGATACGGAGGGCCAGTGATCCTGGCATCATCAACTTCCCACCAGCCCCTGCTGCAGGGAGGATTCCAAGCTAAGCCTGGCCTGTGGCAAGTGCTCAGGCCTGCTCCCTGCCTGCGCACCGTTAGGTCGAATGGACGCTCCTGGCCGGGAATAGAGTTGTAGCAGTTGTGGAAGTTAAGGTTGTACTGGCCTTCCTCCTCCCTGGAGCCGATCACCACATGGAACTGAGCAAGAGAGAGGAGGTCTCAGTTGGGGGGTCTCCTGTTCTGGCAGGAGGTGGGGAGATGGGTCCTCAGATACCATAGACAACTTACACTGAAATTATAGGAATCATTGAGGTGGCCCAGGTCCAACACCAGTTCCTTGTCATTCCCACTGGGGTCCTGAGGGGACAGAGGCCATCCATCAGCTGGCCCTGGTCTTGGAACCCCAAATTCCCTGGGGTAACCCTTTCTCCCTCCCACTCAGCTCCCCAAACCTGAGGCACTGCAGATTTTGCCTTGATGACTGTGGAGGACCCTGCAGGGGACAGATGAGTGATTTCAAGGGATGGATAAACACAGCGATGGCAGAAACATGAGGTGGGGGGATACAGGGCAGCCCTGTCCCATCCTCCCCTCCCTGGCTGTCCAGCCTGACTCACCACTGTCCACCTTGGGAGTGCCTGTGGGCTCTGGCTCTGGCAGCCCTGACTTAGTGGGTGCTTCAGGGAGGAGCCCAGAAGAGATGAACAACTTCTTCTGCTCCCCATATTTTCGCACCTGGACCCTGGGGTAAGGGTGAGGGGCCAGGAGCGGGGGTATGAGGCCAGGGTGCTGAACCTGGGGTCAAGCACACCACCTGTGTGGAAGGACTCAGTGCCCCTCAGGCTCTGCATCTCCATGGGGAAAGGGGCCTCACGCTGAGTGGGTGGTCACCATGTGCCAGTATTTGACCACCTCCTATCACAGTGGATGCCACACCTATAGGTTGCCCGCACTAGTGATTATTTGTCATTTCCCATGACATCGACTCCTCACTCATTGCACTTAAGTACCTTATTTAAAAAGAAAACACTGGGGCCAGGCATGGTGGCTCACGCCTGTAATCCCAGCTGCATGGAAGTGGAGATGGAGGATCAAGGTTCAAGGTCAGTCCCAGGCAAAATCGTGAGACCCTATTTGAAAAATAAACTTAAAGCAAAAAGGGCTGGGGCTTTTTGCTCAAGTGGTAGAACATTTGCCTAGAAAGTGTGAGAGGACCTGCGTTCAAACCCCAGAACCAAAAAAGAAAAAGAAAAAGAGCAACTTGGTATTGTGAGACCTGGGCCCTAGATTGTCTGGGTCTGAATTCCAGTTTGGAGGACTTAGTTTTCACACCTGAAGGATGGGGATAACAGCAGTGTAAGAGCGAATCAACGAATTTATACCTTTAGGTCCCAGGACTCAACAAGGACGAATGATTGTTATTAACTCTGACAACCTTCAGCATCTGGATCTTTGGCCCCAAGACCCCCCAGCATTTCCTGAGTGTCCTCCCCTCTCTCCCTCCATCTGATAATCAGAGGCTTAACGGTGACTCTGAAAAGTAGATGGCTGCTTTTTCCCGAGGGGCGTCAAGTTCTTTTCAGTAGATTTCTTATTCCACCTGACCAGTGGGCACCACACCCTGGGAAACGTGACCATGAGTGTGTCCCAGGCCCAGCCCCCACTCACTGCAGCAACTTGGTGTTGATGAGGAACAGGACCAGGAAGCTGCTGCTATTTCTCTGCAGAAGGCATTCATGTGGATCCTGGATCTGCGGAGCAGGCAGAGGGAACCCAGGGTTGCCCTTCTTTCCCACCCAACTACCCAGGGTCTCTTCTTGCTCCCACCTCTGGGGAAGAACAGGGTCTTTGTGTTTTGTGTGCAGAAGACAGACAACCTCCCGACACCAGCCCTGTGTGTCCTCACCCCCTTCCCGCTCCCTGCACTCACTGGGTACGACCGAACACTGCCAGATCGAACTCGGCTCAGGCTGAATCCCACCTGGTGGGTGGAAAGAAAAGGGGGGGAGGAGACATGAGGGACTCTAGCAGGGACCCTCCAAACCATCCCATTTATAGCAATAGAACGTAGCCTTGCATTTACTGAGCACTTACTATGCACCAGATCCAACATTCTCTCTGAATTTTCCAACAACTTAACCCTGTCCCTACCAGTCCTCTTCTTTTGTGTCCAACCATCTCAGGTGGTTCACTGTGTATGTCACTTCCCCAGGGAGACCTGTGATAGCCTACCCTATTCCCCCTGCCCGCCTCCCCACCCCCCAAGGCTTCCTGCTCTGGGCTTTGGAATTTAGCAACGATTTAAATCCAGGCTCTGCCATTGCCAGATTGTGTGCTCTGAGCCCACCATATAACAGCCTGAGGCCACCTCCATGAAAAGTGGTTCAGTGAATTCCTACAGCATCCCTGGGAGGGGGCCACGAGGGAGGGGCCCACAGAGATTGCTGTGCATGGTACCTGGTCTTAGCATTCAATCAATACATACTGGTCATTCATTCAGACTTCAGGATCTTTGGCCCCCACTGTCAAGACCAGCGCTGAGCATATATCATGTTATATTATCCCCAGGTTACTCAGGAGGAAACTGAGGCTCAGAGAGGCCAAGGGACTCAGACATGGGTATCCAGACTGGGGCGGCAGGGAGATGCGGGAACGCTGCGGTTGCACGCCCAAGCCCTCCACCAAGCCCCTCACCAGCGGGGACTTCTCTTTTGTCTCTTGGGGGCCCAGCCGCAGGACACTCAACTCCACTTCCAGGGAGCCATTGGTGTAGAAGCCAAAGCTGTTCAGTTGGATGTCTGCTCGCTTCTCCCCCTGCCGGAGACAAAGGGGACAGAGGCAGCTAGCCCCAAGTCTCAGGCATGAGGTTCCCCCGAGTTTCCTCTCCTTTATTTGGACAGGCCCAGAGAGTGACAGGAGACCATCTAAGATGCTGGGTCCTCATTCCAGCCCCAGGCAGTGGCAGAGTGGCCTTGGATCTTCTAACTACTGTTCTGAGAGTCCAGGAAGAGACACGCTGGGGCAACTGGATGAGCACCACCCCCAGAGTGCGGCCGTCACCTCCGGTAAACAGACTCCAACGGGGCCCCCAAGAACCCAGTGAATGCTCAGGAGATCCCACTCAAGGAGACCTGAATCCCCAGTGAATGGTGCCACAGGTCTCCAGCGTCCCCAAAACGATCCCAAGAATTTAAAGGGCGAAGAGTCAGGGGTCCCGAGAGGTGGAGGCCCCGCCCCCGAAGGGAGGGCAGGCACCACTCCAGCTCCGCGGCCCAGGCAAGTCCATCGCCAAGACTGAGGGGGATCCTGGGCCGAGACCACTCCGCGCAAGGAAGCAGGGGGCGCTGTCAGACCGCTCCATCCCGCGTACGGAGCAGGGGAGGACGGACGAGACCACTCGAAGCCAGAGGCTTCTCCGCGACAAAGATGCGCCCCCACCCAGATCGCCGCGCTGCGGGCCTCACCGTCAGCGCCAGCCGGTGGATGCGCCCCGAACAGCCGCCGAACAGAAGCAACAGAAGGAGCCTCTGCCCCCACTCCGCTGGGCTCCTGCGGCGGAGCCCCCTCCTCTCGCTCACTGCCATCTCTGGAGCTGCCACCTCTGACACGGCCTCTGACGCCCGCAAACCCGCCTACTAGTGAGCCAATCGCCGCACGTCGGGGCTAGGCTCTTTGGATTTATCAACCCATCCAACCAATTAGCGACCAATTCTTCGGAAACCCGCCCCTATACGATACTAGATGGACAGCAGTAACTCCTAATGGGAGTGTTGATACGGCTTAGTCCCACCTTCACTTTCACCAATCACTAGAAAGATTGTCCAGCATATAGTTTGATAAACTGTCCATAGAACCAATTATCATGGATCTGATATCCGGCCCTTGATGCGGAATTTTTTCACTTAACTGTTAACGGTCCCAGACTACATTACCCAGAATTTAGCGGAAGTACACATGCTCAACAAGGCACTAATGAACTACATTTCCCAGTAGCTCCCTAAACGAGTTTCCTCTTTTCACCCCAGGCTCTGTGGCTTTCAGCCTGAACTCAGGCTTTGGGTAAACGCATGTTGAGGCCTGTTTTGTTCTTCTAATCTTCCTGGTCCACCGAGAGGCCTAAGCCTTGCCCCAGGTTAGGTCTTGACCGTAGGATGACCTATGACTCTAGGCCAAGTCCCCAATCTTAGGCTAAAGCTTCTGCCCCAGAAGAGGCAATTGGGGAGTCCACTTGCAGACCTCAGGTTTAACCCCTTGCTACAGCTGAACCCCAACTTCAGCCTGATATCCTGACCATCTCCCCATTCAGACTGTGGACACCCCGCACTCCACACACACCTACTGGGCCTTAATGTCCATCTGAGCCCCCAATATGGACTACTTCCGACTTCAGACTAGCCCTGGTCATGAGTTTGAGTTCCCCAGCCCTTCACCAAATTGTCCACCCCAGTCTGAGTCCCCATCCCAATTGTGGTGACCTAGGCTGAACCCCAAATCCAGTTTGAAACTCCTGATTAGAGTTGACTCCAGAACTTTGGGGGCTGAGCTCCAGTCCTAAACGAAACCACGGAATCTCACTTAGCAACCCGATCCTTTCCAACTCAGAGCCGCCAGCAGGTGGGGCCAGGGCCCAGCCGAGCCGTCAGTCACGGTTTGGGCTTCCCCAAGGGGAACCTATGGGGGGATGGGTCCCCGATTCCACCAGCAGCCCCAGCAGGGCATCTGTCACCTCGGTAGCTACAGAGAAAGTGCCAAAGGCAGGGGAGAATGGAGGGTGGGAGTCGCTGGTGCCCTTTCCCTTTCATCCCAGAGCCTCGAGAGGATTTACAAGGTGTGAACAAACTTTTATGGGGGGAGAGGATGGGCTTCCAAACCCCAGGGCCTCAGCGTCCAGGGGAGGGGCAATGTCGGGATTCCGGGGCCAGTATTGATAATTAAACCTGGTTGGGTCTTAATGGATGAGACTGGGAAATGGGCAGGTGCAAGCACGCGTGGAGGGACACGAGCCGGGGAAAGGCCTGGGGCTGGCGCCCCAAGGACGGCTCGTCCTCAGTTTCCCAGCGCAGACTCTCGGGGGAGGGAAGGCAGGATGCGGTAGGAGCGCTAATGGAGCCGGCCTTGGCGGAGGCGCGTCCTGGGCAGGATCGAAGTCCTCCCATCCGCCCTGTGGCCGGAGGGACCAGACCATTAATGGGACAAACGTAGACACTTGGAGCCAGGTTGGCCCGCAAGAGCCCAGTGACCTCAGGTTCTCCCTGCAACGGGGCGGGGGGGAGGGATTTCTTGGATTTTGGGTTTTAGGGTCTTGGCCCTTTAAGGAATGGTTGAAGAAGAAGAGGAAAAAGGAAGAACCATCTGGGGCGGAGGAGGAGGGTGGGAGGATGAGCGGGGCCTTAGAGATTTAGAAAATGGGTGTGGGGGGGGTTTGTCCAGGGGCGTTGGGTGGCAACGTTCCTTTAAGAGGAGGCGGAGCGTCCGTTGGGCTCGGCCTTCCTGACGGCCCCGCCCCGAGGGCGCCGGCTTCGGCTCCGCGCGGAGCAAGGAGGCGTGGCAAGGCGCGAAGGGGGCGTGGCATGTGCTGGAGTGGGCGGGGCGGGGCTGGGCGGGGCGGGGCCTGGCGCACCGCCCTCCGCTGAATCTCCCCGCGGAGGGCGGAGGGCGGCGGGCTGCCGGGACCCGGGCGGCGGCGGCGGCGGCGGCGGCTGCATCGGCGGCGGGAGCAGCATGGATTGGGGCACCGAGTTGTGGGTGAGTGCGATCGGCCCCGCTCCAAGTTCCCCCTGGCTGGGGTCTGGACTTCCTCGCTTTGTCCCACCGCACCTTACCCGGGTCTCCGCACTTTCCCTTCCACTGACCCCTGGGTCTCCGCCCTCTGCCCTACAACCTCTCTTGGAGTTTCTCCGCGAGTTTCAGGATGCCTGGGGGCCAGGGGAGACCTTGCAGGACTGGCGTAGGGAAACTGAGGCACAGGGTTGCGAGCGATGCGGTCAGAAGAAGTCCTGGGACCAGGCCGGGGCAGCCGGACGAGGTCACCTATTTTGGGCGCCCTGGTTGGGCCGCCGGCTTATCTTACGGTCCCTGGGTCCCTGCCCGCAGCCCGCCTGTCCGGCTGGGAGGGGGAGGGGACCCTCTGGCCACTTTCTACCCCCACGTGGGACCTACAAGTACTGATTGCCTTTCAGCCACCTTTAATGTCCACCTCGGGACTTGGGACGCTGGTGGAGGGGGAGGGGGCTGCCACTCGGCCCCAGACCACTCTCTGTCCTCCCCTCGCCCGCCCCAGGATCAGGGCGGGGCCTCCCCTTGGCCGCCTCTCACCTCACCCAGGAAGCCCCGGAAATTTCCCCCTATCCTAGCTGGACCTCTGACCCCTCCCCTTTCTGGGGGCGGTGGAATCCCTGGGTGCAGCGGGGTAACTGGATCGTCCTCCTCTTCTTCAACTCTTGGATTTCTTTCGGAGGTGTAGTGGAGTTAGTGGGGGGAAACTGAGTCACCAGAGGTTCCCCCCCCCGGGAAGCTTGGCGAATCAGAGACTCCTGTGCCTGCCCCTTGGCCATTCTGAGTCTCCCCCTTCTCCAGTCTGCGACAAACCCTGCCCCTCTGGCCCTGACTCACGCCAGGCCGGCCGGATTTTCCGGAATCTGGGGGGGATTAGGGGAGTCGGGGGCAGGGGGAGTGGCTTTGCCCGGTTCCACACCCCTCTTGGCGGTTTGAGACCGAGACCCTGTTGACCTGCTGGGGCCCCAGCCCTGTTCTCCGGCCCTTCCCGGGAAGGGGAGGGGGTTCCCGCCAGCTTCCTGCCTCCCCCTGCGCCACGCCGGGGCGGCGTCGGGAAGCCACTCCTCCGTGGAGCGCAGGGCCTGGAAGCTCCCGGTGCATTTGGTCGGTGGATTGTGGTGTCCCAACGTCGTGACCCTGGCCCTCCCCACCCTCTTGTCCCCATCAGGATCAGTTTGAAGTGCTTGAGCGCCACACGCAGTGGGGGCTGGACCTGTTGGACAGATACGTGAAGTTCGTGAAAGAACGCACGGAGGTGGAACAGGCTTACGCCAAGCAACTGCGGTGAGCCCCGGAGGGTGAATGCAGCCTGGGACCCGGGGACGCGTTGGTTGGAGGGCCCGGGGTTCATCTTCCCTGCTTCTGTCTCCACTTAGGAGCCTGGTGAAAAAGTACCTGCCCAAGAGACCTGCCAAAGATGACCCTGAATCCAAGTAAGGATGGGGAGGGATTGCACGGGCTAGACTTGGTGGTGGTGGTGGTGGTGATGGTGGGTGGGTGTCGTGTTAATTCCATTTCCTGCCCCTCAAGCCTGGCCACCTCACCTCTCACTCAGTTCTTTCCTAGAGTTAAGAGCCTGGATGTAAGATCCAGATTCCTGGGCTGGAAACCTCAGCCCGCTGCTTTGTAGACAAGCTGTTTGGGCATGGGACATACGATTCTGCCTCAATTTTTCTCATCCATAAAATGGGAATGCTCCAGCAGTTACACATTGAGTAGCTTTGGGCAAATGACTCTTTTGTGCCTGTTTTCCTTGTCTGTGAAATGGGGCTGATGAGTGTGCTGCCCGCTACAGAGCTTTTGAGAAGCTTAACTGAAAGAACATGTTAAAACAGTGTCAAGTCCATAGTAACTGTGAGAGCATTTCGCTGTGTTCTGAGTCCCTGGTCCTCAAATCCAAAACAGCTCTAGAACTTTGAGAGGGTTTTCTGAGCAACTTGTTAGATGGAACAGACAACCAAACAGACTTGATGTTAATTATTGACTTTATCCCACCTTGTCTTTGTTTCTGAGCATTGAAAACGTTCTGATAAGGAAAATTGCCCCTGTACTGGGCATATACAGACTTCTTTCTTTGTCATTATTCCCTAAACAATCCAGTGTAACAATTGTGTTCCTAGCGTCTACATTGTATCGGTTGTTGTAAGTCATCTAGAGAGCATTGAAAGACTTTAGGAGGGGCTGGTGGAGTGGTTCAAGTGGTAAGAGGGCCTGACTAGCAAGCCTGCTGCAAAATAAAATAAAATAAAATAAAATAAACTCTTTAGGATGTGCACAGGTTCTATGTGTTTTCTTGGACTTTGGTATCCTTTAGGACCGCTTATGGGGTCCTAGAATTGGTCCCCCATGGTACTGAAGGAGAACAACTGCAAAACTCAGTTACAGTGATGGCTATGTGGTACACGCCTGTAATCACAGCCCTTGGAGCCTGAGGCAGGAGGATGGAGAGTTCCAGGCCAGCTTGGGCTACATATTGAGGCTCAGTCTCCACCTCCACCCCCAAAAAGTTTGAGTACAGGATGCCGCCCCCCTGGGCCCACTGAGGTGATGCATGAAAGATGGTCTAAGCGTTGCATCCACTTACAAAACATTTCCTACAAAATCTCGGTTCCGAATTGCATCTGAATCAAGGGTTTGGGGGAAGGGATATGGACAAGACTTCTCATTGCTTTGGGGATGGCTGTCCATGGGCTCACCTGTTCCCACCTGGAGATGGGTGCTAGCCACCAGCTTCTGGAAGGTCTCATCGCCTGCCGGTCCCTAGGTTCACCCAGCACCAGTCCTTCATGCAGCTTCTCCAGGAGGTGAATGACTTCGCCGGCCAACGGGAGCTGGTGGCTGAGAACCTCAGTTTCCGTGTGTGCCTGGAGCTGGCCAAGTACTCCCAGGAGATGAAGCAGGAGAGGAAGCTGGTGAGTGGCCCCCTTCTGGGTCTTGCTGGGGATGGGGGGGGGGTCCTGCCGAAATCCTGGGTGAGCCTGATTGCCCTTCTATCCCTAGCACTTCCAAGAAGGACGGCGGGCCCAGCAGCAGTTGGAAAATGGCTTCAAACAGCTGGAGAATGTGAGTTTGCACGGGGCAGCTGGCAGCTCTGTCCCAGAGTAGCGGGGTGGGGTTGCTGATCCATGGAGCTGCCCCCTGGGTCTGGCCAGGACTCCCCGGGGCTCTGGCATGCACATTGCTCCTGTTTTGCGATGGTGGATCCATCACTCTGGTTCTGTCTTCATGTGCAGAGTAAGCGCAAATTTGAGCGAGACTGCCGGGAAGCGGAGAAAGCAGCCCAGACTGCCGAGCGGTTAGACCAGGATATCAATGCCACCAAGGCTGATGTGGAGAAGGTGCCTGTGGGGTAGGGTCTGGGACAGGCTTCAGGGATTGGAGTGGGACTCTGGCCATGACCTCCACCTTGATATTCCCTAGGCCAAGCAGCAAGCGCACCTTCGGAGTCATATGGCAGAAGAAAGCAAGAATGAATATGCAGCCCAGCTACAGCGCTTCAACAGAGACCAGGCCCACTTCTATTTTTCACAGATGCCCCAGATATTTGATGTGAGTGGTTCAAACTCCCAGGACTACCTACCTTGTTGGGGACAAAAGCCAAAAACCAAAAGCTAAAAGTTAACCAGCTCTTATACATATGTCAAAACCTCAGCTGCCATGTCCCTGTTCCTAGATTGAAAGAGAATTAGAAACCTAGAGTAACAGTGAGTCCTGCTTTTACTCAAGCTTTCTGCCAGGGAGGCTGCCTTTCTTTCCTTTTGAAACTCCTATTGATTTCTCTAAGCCCCGGCTTTGAAAACTCTTAGGTCTTGAATTTCCTCTTTTCTCTTTCAGACCCCTATACACTCTCTGTCCTGGAACAGAAATTATCTGTGCTGAGTCTTTTTTTTTTTGTTGTTCCATTGTCTCCTTTTTCAAGACCTTCCTGAGCTCTTTGGGCAAGGCTCCCCTTTGAGGCCCCTGTGGTCTTGTGTGTGTGTCTCCTTCAACCATACTGGACTGCCTTAGATTCTGGGTCTTCCCAGGGCTTGAGGCTGGGGCTGATGGCTAGAGCCCATCGTATTTGCAGGGTGAATCACGCTGAGCTGCCCCATCCCTACAGAAACTACAGGATATGGATGAACGACGAGCCACCCGCCTGGGGGCCGGGTACGGGCTCCTGTCTGAGACTGAGCTGCAGGTGGTCCCCATCATTGCCAAGTGCTTGGAGGGCATGAAGGTGGCTGCTGATGCTGTGGATGCTAAAAACGTGAGTGTCCGGGGAGGGTCCCCTGGGGCGAGGAGCAGGCATGGAGCGATTTCTTAAAACCCAGCTCTTGTCTTGATCCCCATCTGCCTCCACTGCCTCCTCCCCCAGGACTCCCAGGTCCTCATCGAGCAGCACAAGTCAGGCTTCGCCCGCCCGGGCGACGTGGAATTCGAAGACTTCAGCCAACCCATGAACCGCGCGCCCTCGGACAGCAGCCTGGGCACCCCATCAGATGGCCGGCCTGAGCTCCGAGGCTCTGGCCGAAGCCGTGCCAAGCGCTGGCCCTTTGGCAAGAAGAGCAAGGTGGGGGCCAGGGCTCTTGGGGTAGGGTGTGGGGGACAGTGAGTGGGGACCGCCGAGGCCCCCACTGAGTCAGTCACAGCCACCGGAACGCTGAGTCCTGGGCAAGAATTTTCCTCTTGGCTGCAGGCCCGGGCTGGAGGGAAGGAAGGCGGGCGGGCCCATTGGCCTGGGAGTCCCCTGAGGCTGAGTGGGGCCGGGTAGGGGCCTGTGGCGTCTTGTCTGCTGCTTCTGGGGATGCTGGGAGAAGACCTGCTTGTGGAACTCAGGACTGGCCTGAGGGCTTGTGACACTGTCTCCCAGGGGTCCCCCTGAGTTTGTCCTGTTGATGGGTCTCTGGGCCATCCCCTCTTATGTCCTTTATTCCTGGAACTTTGAAGCTTTTAGTGTTAAACGTACACATTGTCACCTGTGCTTGTCTCCCAGCAGTCCTGTCTCTCTTGGCTCCTTTGACCTTTTGGTTTAGGATTTATTTTTGGCAGTGCTGGGGTTTGAACTCAGGGCCTGGCTAGCTAGGCAGGCGCTCCATGGACCCTGTGCCTTGGCCCGTTCATTTTGTCTTGACCTAGACTTTGGCACCTCACTTGACTTACACCTGCATCCTCCCACTTCACAGCTGTACGCGATTTTTCCGCCTTCCCCCCTCTGTCAGCTTGCTCTTTTGACCTTGACTCTTGCATGTCCCTACTCTCCTTCCTGACTGTGAGCCCAGAAGCCCCGGTGGACAGAAACAAGGGCCTGCTGGCCTCCCTTGGTCCCATCCCAGCCACTGGACTTAAAACACTCAAGGGTCACAGTACTGGGGACAGTGTGACCTGTGGCTCACAGTCTGACGTCCTCCCTGCCACCTCCCTGATTTTGTGTTGTGTTTCTTTGTGTGTGATTACACATCCTGAGTTGTGATTTTCTTACCAGTTTTTTTCTTTTTCTCTTTCTTCTCCATTTTTTTTGTCTTTTCTGTGTTCCATCCTTACATCCATCCGTCCATCCATCCATCCATCCTCGGTTCTCTACATCCTCCCATCTCCATCCTTGACCCACCTGGTCCCCGACCCCCTCCGGTAGCCTCGCCCCACATCCTTCTCCCCCATGGGGGGTCCCCTACCCTCTGCCTTGCCTAATGGACCCCCGTCCCCCCGATCTGGCCGCGACCCCTTGGCCATACTGAGTGAGATCAGTAAGTCAGTCAAACCGCGGCTAGCATCCCTCCGCAGCCTCCGGGGCAGCCGTGGGGTAAGTGAGGCCCGGGGAGGAGTCGGTGGCCGCCCCCAGCCCCCGGTGGCGGGACCCCAGACTCGCTTTCTGCTGCGGGCTGGGCCGCCCTTCCTGCTTTGCTCTGTGCATGGCCTCGCCCCCCAGGACCCTGCCAAGGGAGGACAGAGGACTTGCTGTGGCTCAAGACTGAGTGGCACCTGGAAGCTTAGGCCCCAGAGTCCCCAAACTCTGTCCCCATCCCACCTTGCAGACAGTGGTGACAGAGGATTTTAGCCACTTGCCCCCAGAGCAGCAGAGAAAGCGGCTCCAGCAACAGTTAGAAGACCGGAATCGAGAACTGCAGAAGGAGGTGGACCAGAGGTAAGGAGGGGGAGGTGGCAGGATTGGAGCAGGTAAGGGACAACAGGAAAGGGTAAATGGTTCTCAGGGGCTGGGGTGCAGCTTAGGTGCCTGGCACACAGGAGGCTTTGGGTCCCATCCCCAGCACTGCAAAAAAAAAAACAACAAAAAACCCAGCAACAACAAAAACAAAACCCCAATAAGAACAAAAACACGTAAATTATGGTACTCAGGGTTCATCCCGACAAAGCCAGGCCCAGATAGTTTTTCAAATGACTCTTAGACACGTGAAGAAACTGTGGTATTGGGCTGGTGGGGTGGCTCAAGTGAGAGTGAGCCCGAGTTCAAACCCCAATGCCAGAACTGTTATAGCTGAGTGTGGTGGTTCACCCGTGTAATCCCAGCACTCAACTCAGAGGCAGAGATGGGAGGATTGTGAGTTTGACACCAGCCTGGACCCTGTCCAAAACAAAAACAAATGAAAAAAATCAACCAAAAATAGTGAAGGAGGGTTAGGGGTGTTGTTCAGTGGCAGAGCACTTGACTGGCTTGTGTGAGGCTCTGGGTTCCATCCCCTAGCGCCACAAAAAAACAAGAATTCTTTTTTTTTTTTCCCAGAAAGCCATATATCTGGCCATGGTGTTACACTCCAGTAATCCCAAGTCTCAGAAGGCTGAGGCAGGGAGATAGTGAGTTTGAGGCCAGCCTGGGTTACACAGTGAGACCCTGTCTCAAAAAAAGAAAGAAAAGAAAGAATAAAACAAGACTAAACAAAACAAAACAAAAAGAAAACCCCATTCCTCTCCAACTTATCCAAGTCATTCCAGCAAACAGAGAAAGAGTGATTGCTGCTAACTTACTCAGGTGGAATCTCCACTTCCATAGTGCACATGAATTCAAAAATGCAGTTACAGACTCATTTTATCTTACTCTTGATCTCAGACACAAAACTCTAGCCAAGAAATCTAATGGCATATCACAAAAGAATGCATGATTTGGTGGTGTTGGTTTGGTGAAGGTAATTAATGCCACAGAACTGTACACTTAAAAATAGCCACAATGATAAATTTTATGTTATATAAGCTTTACCACCACAATAGTTAAAAAAAAAAAAAGCCCCAGCACCGAGGAGGAAAAAATCCCATAAAACAATGAGTTGGGTATTATCCGAATAATGCAAAGATGGTTCAATTTCAAGAAATCTGTCAGTCTTACTCACATATTATTTGGATAAAAGGAATAAAAAGCATATGATTATTTAATAACTGAAACACCTAAAATATTAATAAAAAAATCTGCCAGATTTGAAAAAAAAAAGAAGAAGAAAATCTGTACTCATTCATTCCAAGCAACAAAATTCTCTTTCCAGTTCTGTTACATAATAGGAATGACATCTGCCTCTTGCCAGGGGACAGCCAAATTCTATCTGGCTCTTTTCATGCAGCCTCTAGGATCAAATGGCTTTTTTGGGTGTTGACTCCGTTTGGAACTGTCTGTTTCTCGGGTTTTGTGGTGGAAGGTAAAGGATGCATGTCTGGAATCAAGACCTGGGAAGCCTCGAGTCCTAGGTGACTTAGAGGTCTTGGCCAGCTTGCTGGGCCTTTCTATACCTCAGTTTCTTCATCTGTGACATGGGTCAGCTACAACTGGAAGTTATGCTGAGGTCTTGCATATTCCAGAAGGCTTTTCTTTTTTTTTAAGACAGGGTCTCACTATGTAGCCCAGAGTGGCCTCAAACTAGATCCTCCTGCTTCAGCCTCCCAAGAGCTGGGATGACAGCACGTACCATGCCCTGTGTAGACACAGAGGAGATGGGAATGACAGCTGAACAATAATTACAGCTTGCATTTGGTGAATGCTAACTGCATTGTAAATTCTTTCCATTGTTCTCCAGAATGCTCAACTTTTCCCGAGAAATTGTTCAGGTGGTGCTGGGAATTCACCATGTTAGGCAAGCCCTTTACCTGTAATTCTATATTCTGATGTCTAGATACAGTGGATTCTCAGTATGTATCTGAATAATTGAATGTCTGGGGGCTTGGCTTAGTGGTAGCACTTAGAGGCCACTAGTTCAAGCCCTAGTTGTGTGGGGAGAAATGAATTATAGTTAATACTATGTAGCAAGTACAGTCCTCATCCTCACACTGACAGATAATGTTCCATTATGCTCATTTGCAAGGTAGCCATACGGAGGCAAGGTTTCGATAACTTTTTGTTTTCATGGTACAGATTTAAACTCAGGGCCTCACACCTGCTAGGCAGGTGCTCTACCACCTGAGCCACGAGCCCAGTCCCTTTTTACTTGAGTGATTTTTCAGATAAGGACTTTTTGTCTGGGGCCAGCCTTGGACTCCGATCCTCCTGCCGCTGCCTGCCAAACTTTGGGATTATAGGTGTATGCCATCTTCAGAGTGGAGTCTTGCCTTGGTATTTCACGCAGAGACTGGTTTTTTTTTTTTTTTGCTTGTTAAATCACACAGGACTGCACTTTCTCTCATGTCTGTTTGTCTTGTCCCAGGGAAGCTCTGAAGAAGATGAAGGATGTCTATGAGAAGACACCCCAGATGGGGGACCCAGCCAGCTTGGAGCCCCGCATTGCAGAAACCCTGAGTAACATCGAACGGCTTAAGTTGGAAGTACAGAAGTATGAGGTAAGGCTGAGGCCCTGGAGAGGGGTGTGGGCCAGCAGTGGTGGCCCTGGCTGAGTGAGTCACTGCCGGGTGGGGGACAGGGAGGTCTTGGGGGGGGGGAGGGACCCAGCTGTTTCTCATCACAGCACGGGTGATGTCAGGGAATTTCCTGGTCCAGAGCGGGCTGACCTCAAAGCCCTGCCCTGCACCTGATGTCGTGATCCCACCTCCCAGGCTTGGCTGGCAGAAGCTGAAAGCCGGGTCCTCAGCAACCGAGGGGACAGTCTGGGCCGGCACACCCGGCCTCCGGATCCCCCAGCTAGTGCCCCTCCGGACAGCAGCAGCAGCAACAGCGGGTCACAAGATAACAAGGAGAGGTGAGTGGAGAGGCCAGGGTGGGTGTCCCCCAGGGACCCAGGAGGGCCTGTCTCTATCTGCTTTTGTGCCCGCAATCAGCTCTGAAGACCCCCCATCAGAAGAGGGCCAGGACACCCCCATCTACACAGAGTTTGATGAGGACTTTGAGGAGCCTGCATCTCCCATAGGCCAGTGTGTGGCCATTTACCAGTTTGAAGGTGAGATTTGTCTCCGGGGGCCACATCACTTGCTTGGGGGCCAGCAAGGGGGAGGGGAGTCTCTGGGTACATTCTGGTTAAATTCACCCCCACAACAGGGTCCAGTGAGGGTACCATCTCCATGACTGAGGGTGAAGACCTCAGTCTGATGGAAGAGGACAAAGGCGATGGTTGGACCCGGGTCAGGCGGAAACAGGGAGGTGAGGGCTATGTGCCCACCTCCTACCTCCGAGTCACGCTCAACTGAACCCTGCCAGAGGCGGGAAGAGGGGGGCTGTCGGCTGCTGCTTCTGGGCCACGGGGGGCCCCAGGACCTATGCACTTTATTTCTGCCCCCGTGGCTTTGGCTGAGACCTGTGTAACCTGCTGCCCCCCATCCCACCTGTCACCCTACGTGGACCTGCTGTGCCTTTCAGCATCGATGTACATACTCGTGTTTCAAAACCTTCCTGCCTCTCGGCTTGAGCCGTTTTGTTTTATATAAAAAAGCAATTCTATACAATTCTTGGAATCCGTGCCTTATTACATAAGACTCTTCTTACAGGTCACAGGCAATGAGGAACGGGAGGTGAACCTGGGAGTTGCTTGTGACTCCAGTAGAGGAAGAAAGGCAACAGACTTTATTCCTTCTGTGTGCCCTGCAGCCTACTGAAAACAAGTAGCGTTTATTGAGCACCTACTGAGTACCAGGCATTCTTCAGCCACAATCCCACTTAAGCAATGAGCTTTTATTTGAAAACACTTTTATGTTGAAGGCTGGCACAGAGAGGTCAAGTGATCTGCTAGAAGTCACACAGCTTTTCAGAGGTCAAGTCAAATTTGAACTCTGATACCATACCTGCAAGTGCAGCTACTATGAAAGGCCACCTGCTTCTCATGTAGTCCTGTTTTCTGAGTGTCCCAGCTATGGGTATGTGTAGTGTTTATGTGGGGGTGTGGTGGTAGCCTCCAGAGACGTAGTGTTCTGGAGGAGGCCGTCGCACTTCCAACCTGAGGATCCACGTGCATCTTTGGGGGTCAGATTCTTGCAAACCTTGGAACCACCTGTTTTTTACAGGAGGCAGGGGGTAGGTCTCCACCATGCAGCTGTTTGAGGGATCTGGGGCAACTTCTTTGGTCCCCTTGCGGGGGCCCTAAAGCACGGGTGTCCCCAGGGTAAAGAAGTCAGCAGTTAGGTTCCAGACGCTGGGACAGAACGCTGAGGACTTGTTGGAACTTCTCCAAGCGTTCGGCTCTGGGCGCCTGCGCACCCCGGCTGCCCCAGAGCAGCCTCCGCAGGAAGCCGGTGGTCAGGGCCTCCCTCAGTTCCGGGTTGGGCTGGAATCCTGGAGACAGGTCAGGTGGGCTGGGGGCGGGGCCCAGGCTCCGCCTTGCCCCACCCTGCACTAGTTTTCCCCTAGGGACTTTAACCCAGCAGGGGGGCCTAGGGACTCTGCTCCAGCACTTAGAGTTAGTGAGCCGGGCTAGCAGGGAGAGGGCACCTGGATCTCTGCGGGGAACAAGGGTGGGGCCCTGAGGGACCTTGTGGAGGCGGGTGACCTGTCCAGGTGCAGAGAGCCCCACCTTAGGGGCTACTCCTGGAGGTGGGGCGGCCCTGGAGGCGGGATTTGGTCAGCGCCGTCCTGCGTGGCAAGTTTGGGAACAGGATGGATGGGCCACCTTAGGGGGAGGGGAGCCCTAAGGTCTCCCGCGAAGGCGGGAAAGACCCAGGTGAGGAGTCCTGGAGGCTAGGCTGTCGGGTGACTTAGATTACAGCGAGGGGGGACTCTGTCCTATCGGGTGGAAGGGCTGAGCCATTTTGGAGGGATCTGGGCGTCGCTGGGGGTCGGGATTCCTGGGAAACAGGGTGGTTCCAGTTAGGGGGGTGGAAGTAGGACCCCGTGGGTGTAGCTCTGCGGGGCAGGGCCGCGTCTTTGGGAGTGGAAGGCAATAGTTGGGGTTCCGTCAATACTGTTAGTTGGACTGCGACAGGTGGGGTTTGAGGGCTCCGGTGAGAGTTCGCGGGGTGCTCCTGAAGTCGGGGCCCCGGCGCAGAGGGGGCGCTCACCTCGCAGGCGCTGGGCCGCCGCCTGGCGGAACTTGGGCGCGTCGCGGGCCACCTGACGCGCCCGATGCAGGGTGCGCAGCAGCCGCTCGCAGCTCTCGTCCAGTGGCCCCGCGAGCTCCTCGCCCTCCAGCAGGCGCACTGCGGGGGCCACGTGCGGCAGCGCCACCTCGCCGGGGTCGCTGGGTCCTGCGGAGGGAGAGGATCTGAGCTGGTCTGGGGCAGTGGGGGGAACGGAGGGCAGAGGCGGAGCCAAGGAAAGAAGCAGGGACCGGGCTTGGGCGGTGCCTGCCTGGGTCAAGGGCGTGGACGGGGCGGGGCCTACGGAAAGAGTCCAGGACCGAGCCTAATTTAGAGGGCGGGGCCTATAGCCAAGGTAGCGGGATTTAGGACAGAAACCGAATGCAACACTGGGCGAGGTGGGGCACAAGGCCGAGGCCAGGAGAGGGCTTGGGGACACAGAGGGTGGAGCCTGGTATTTCCGGCTTAGGGCAGGAGCCGGTGCGAGGCGGGACCGAGGACACAGAGAGGACACAGGATGGGGGGCGGGGCTTAGAATCTGGGCGGGGCCTAGGGCTGGATTGGGATTCCAGTTTAAATCTGTCCGGCGCTCCACGTGATGCCAAATCCCAGGCTGTCACTCACCTAAGCCCTCATCCAGAGCCCGCATCAGCGGCTTCAGTTCCTGCTCAAAGGCCAGCGCCGCCTCCGTATGGCTCCGTCGGAGCTGGCGCCACGTGCGCTCCAGCCGGGACACCTGGGAGAAAAGATGCGAGCCTGAATCACCGCTCTTCCCAGTCACCTGCACGCCGGCTTCCTCTCAACCCTTATTACATACGCACCTGGGGCATGAGCAGGGCGCCCATGACCGCGGCCAGCCCGAGCAGATCCCCTGCCGCCCCTGGCCGCAGGGCCAGTGCCAACTCCACCAGGCCCCTCAGTGCGGCTGCGCGCTCCTCCAGCGGCCCGGAGCAGCCCAGCACCGCCATCGCCCCGGCCATCGCCAGGGCCTCAAGCCTGCAGAGGCGGAGGGGAGGGCAAGGGTCTGGGGGCAGTAGGGAGGTTCGTAATACGAGGGTGAGGGGGGACTAAAAGTGGCATTGCCCAACCCCCTCCCGGAGGGCCAATAATAAGGAGATGTTTGGCGACCCTGGAGTGCAGGGTACCCCCGCCCCAGGTTGCAGACTGCTGGCTCACCTCTCCAGCAGTTCCAACCTCAAGCAATGCCCGTGGGGAAGTGTGAGCAGCTCCAGGCCAGAGGCGACCCCCATGGCGCCTCGCTGACTCTTGGTCACTCCCAGGAGGCCTGCAGCCTTCCAGAGGGAACATGTCAGGTGAATCGGGCTAACACATAGGTGTGAGTGGGCCTGGCCCTGGCTTCAGCCCAGGCCCCTCAGTGGGGCTGCGCGCTCCTCCAGCGGAGGACCTTGGCATTCCCAGGGAGGGGACATTGGCAATGACTCACCTGGCAGTCCACCAACAGCAGGTGCAGCGCGGTCCCCTCTGGATGGTGCTCCAGGAGTAAGCCACGAAGCGTGCGTAGGACTTTGGGGTCCAGGGGCCGGTTCTGGCGGCCCAGCATGCAGGAGGGGTTGTTAGGGGGGCAGAAAGAGACTTCGGCATGTGGTCTTACAAAACAACCGCCTCTTCCTCTTCCTCCTCCTCCTCCTCAGCCTCCCACCATGGGGCCTCTGGCTCTGGACAGCTTTGGCCAGGGGACTTTCCCTGGGCACTGAGCACTCGTGGCACCAGATCACAGTACGTTGGGGGGCGTCCAGAGGCCTCACGAAATGCCAGAGAGGGTGTCCGGAGGGGCTTTGTTGGTGCCTTGGCATGAAGCTGTCCATCAGAGGCCCTGAGAACGTCAGCAATGGTCTCCAGGGGAGCTGGTGTCTTCAGCAACACCGGGTCGCTGCCTGTCCGGCACAGGGCAGATCCTGGCATAGTGGAGGCTCCTGGGGGTCAGACGGGATTTGGGGGTGGGAGGAGGGAGGGTTGCACAGAGAAGAGAGCTGGCTTGTGTGGGGTGGGGAGCTTCATGGGCTACCCGCTTCTCCCCCTTCATCCACTCATTTGCCAAATCTTGGCAAAGCTTTGAACTTCAACAATGTCACCAGGATAAATTTACCAATGATTGGAAAACAAACTCTCTTCAACACTTCTGTAGCTTTGTGAATTCTGAATACTACATTTTAAAGTTTAAATTTGGATTCTCTTTCTCTCTTCTCTCTCTCAGTACAGGGATTGAACACAGAGCCCCGGTCTTGCTTGCTAGGTCTCAGGCAATGCCGCAGTTCTTTTGTTTGTGTTTTTTTTTCAGATAGGGTCTGGGATTACAGACATGAACCACCACACCTGGCTTTCTCTCTCTCTCTATTTCATTTTTTTCTCTTTACCTTCTTTCCTTCTTTTTTCCCTTTCTTCTGACAGGGTCTTTCTATGTAGCCCAGGCTGGCCTCAAACTGGAGCTCTTCCTGCCTCATTCTCCAGAGTAGCTGGGATTACAGGTGTGCACCACCACACCTGGATTGGGAGGCTGTATTTGCCTAACAGTTCCATAGATTTTCTCAGGTGCAGTGGCTCATGCCTGTAATCCTAGCCACTCAGGAGGTGGAGATGGGAGGATCCAAGTTAAGGTGAGCCAGAGCAAAACAAAGGAGATTCTATTAAAAATAACTAAAGCAAAAAGGGATGGGGTGTGGCTCAAGTGATCGAGTACCTGCTTAGCAAAAGGGAGGCCAGGCCCTCAAATCCCAGTACTGCCAATAAATAAATAAAAATAAATAAATAAATAAATAAACGAAAAGGCTTTGTTTTAGGGATTCCAAAACTCTTCCAAGTTTCCTAGCTCATTCTGAGTGCCAGAGTCTTTCACAGTCCTTTACAGTAGCTGAAAAGCCCTCACAGTCTGAGCCCCAGAATCTCTCTTACCTTCCCCTCATTCCCACTGTTACAGATACACTCATCTTTGTTTGAACAAATAGTTCAAATCTTTGTTCCAACCCCAGGGCTTTTGCACTGGCTGTTCTATCTGTCTGGGCTATTCTCAACTCTTCTCAGCCACATTGCTCCTTCGCTCATTTCAAATCTGTCTTGATGAAGTCTTTCCTGACAATATCTACCTCCACCCCTACACTCCCAAACCCCTTTACTCCCCTATTTTTAATTTTTATTCCAATTGACTTATTCTTTGTGGCTCATTATCAGTTGTCCGCTAGTAGACTGCTGGCTCCCCTTGGGAAGGGGTCTTGGTCTTTGTTGCTTGATGTATCTCCAGTTCTTAGGGCATTGCCTGGTGTGCTGCAAGGGCTCATGTTGAATATGGGAATGGCATATGTGGCAGGGCAAATGGGACACGAGGGGGCATGTGGGTGAGTCCTTAAGGTAAGATGGTCAAGGTCAGGTGCTTTGAGGAACTCTTGTTGGATGCAGAGTAAAAGGATGTTCCTATCCATGGTAATAATAGCAAGTGCAAAGGCCCTGGGCAGGAACAAGTGTGGGGGGATCCCAGCAACTGTTAGGAAGGCTTTGTGAGTGGAATGAGGAGGGATATGATAGGAGTTGTTGGGATCAGCCCTAGACAGAACATGTAGGGCTTCTACCCCACCTGGTCCTGAGTGGTCTTCTTTTGATTGCCCTGTCTGCTCCAAGTCTGCAGGTTGGCTGGTGCTCCACTTCCTAGCCCTGGTGGACAGAGGTGGGAGAGAACTGGCATCTCAGCCTAGGCAGGGCAGCACTCACCAGTGCCTGGAAAAAAACCCCATGTAGTCACTGCATACTTATCACTCCCAACCAACCAAGGTGATCCATCTACAGGATATGGCAGGGAGGGTGTTATAAAAGAGACCAAGTACCTGAGAGGCTTGGTCTGAGCTGGGCTGTCCATGAGGGCATCCTCGCTAAAGCTTCGCCGCAGAGAGCCTTCCCGAATCACAGGTCTGGAGGCCACAGCCCCTGTGGCCTGGGACAATGGACGCCGGCCAGTCATGTAACTGTGAACCAGGGCAGACATGCTGGGGAACCTTTCATCCTCCAGCTGAAAGAGGGCCATTGGCCGACCTGGCCGGGGACGCAGGGCCACACGGAACACCTCGAAGTGTAGAGCTGAGCCCTGCCAGCGGCATGTGATCACAGGGTGGCCCCCACGTGACCCTGAGGCACGAACCAGGAAGTCGCCATCTTGCAGAAGAAGAGCTTCAGCCTTCTGAGGATGGAAGACAGGTGGCAGGATTTAGGAACAAGCCTGGGCCAGCCATTAATTGGGACTGTCCCCCTCCAATACCCAAGAAAAGCCACCCCAATGAAACTTCTGTGGCAGGCAGAGACTAGGTGGTTTCACACCAAATCATTCCCCCTTTTCTGTGAGTACTCATCTGGACTACATTTTCCAGGCTCCCTTGCAGTTAGCCTCATCATGTGATGAGATCTGGCCAATGGGAGGTGGCAGAAGTTTTGTGGGAAATGTCTAGCTCCCTATAAAACCCTGCCGTCTAATCCTGCAGGTTCTGTCTTATGTCAGCCCCTGGAGATGGACTTTGAGTCCTGAATGATGTATGGAGCTCTGTGTCCCCCCCTTCCTCAACGACCTTGGACTGTGACATGAATTAGCGGCATAAATACTGATTGTATTTAGCTGGGGCTGTTTGTTGCAGCCATTAGCCAACGCTGGCCAATGCAACTTCCACCCTGAGTGAATGCACTGGCTTGCTGTGCAAATGTGGCTTTGAGAAAAGCCATCAGCTTGCTGGGCACAGTGGCTCATGTCTGTAATCCCAGCTATTCAGAGGTACAGATTGGAAGGATTGAGGTTTGAGACACATCTGGGCAAAAAAGTTAGCGAGACCTATCTCAACCATTAAGGTAGTTTGCAGCTCTGCTCCCAGCTACCCAGGAGGCATAGGTAGTAGGATTGCTGTCCAAGGCCGACCCTGAGCAAAAAACATCAGAGCATATCTGAAATATAACAAAAGGGAAAAAAGGCTGGGTGTGTGCTCAAGTGGTAGAGCAAGCGTGAGACCCTGAGTTCAAACCCCTGTACTGCAGAAAGAAAGAAGAAAGTGTCAAACTAGGGTAGTAGGCGAGCCAGGGCCCCAGAGAGAGGCCAGGCAGAGCTGGTAGTGCAGGCCAGAGAGGAAGCAATACATAGAGTGACACAAATGCAACCCTCACCTGGGCCAGGCACTGCTTGGTATGAAAGACCTTAACTCATTAAATCCCTTGTAACAAGCTTAAGTGGGAGGTATTACTGTTATCATCATTATTGCAATTAATTGTTTTTTTTGAAACAGGGTCTTGATATGTAGCCCAGGCTAGCCTTAAATCCTCGAGCTTCCTGCCTTAGTCTTCCCAGTGCTGGGATTATAGGTGTGTATCACCTCACCTGGCTACCAGGAGGTATTATTATCACCACTGTACAGATGAGGAAACTGAAGCCCAGAGAGGTCAAATCCTTGGTCAAGGTCACCTAGAATGTAAGTCATAGGGCTGCGAGCTGACCTCGGGAGGTTTGGCTCCAAGGTTTGGGATTTTAACCAGAGCTCTACTCTCACCTATGATTTCATTGGATGTTTAGGGACTAAGGATTCTGAGTTGGAGGAGGGGGTGGAGGACCTCAGCTTGAGAGGAAGGTGCTGGGAGATAGGACCCAGTGGTCAAGAAGGGCAACTGGGGTATTGGGGGGGGATGGTATTAAGACCCTCTTCAATCTCCATTCACATCCTCAACACTAAGAAAGTCATAATTTAAGTATAGAGCGTGCACAGTCAACTAAGCTTTAAGACAGTCCCTTGTCCCCCACCTGTCTATCCCAACAGACCTTTCCCTAAGCCTCCCACCCAGGACTCAGAAGTCCTCAGGCTACCGGTGGCAGAAGGTCGCCACCAGTTGGTGCTGAGGCCCTGCAGGAGGTGGTACCTGGCGGGATAGGGGGCCGTGGTACCAGGGCTGGCGGGCAAGGTCCTCTCCATCCTGTAGCACCTGCATGGAGCTCTGGAGGTGGAGGGGGCCAAGGCTGAGCTCTGGGCTTTCAGCTGGTCTCAGTCTTTCCCATCTGCAAAGTAGGTACAATTAGCCCTGCGCCTTGAGTGGTTGGGTCAGTTCTCTGATCCTTATCCTAAGTTTGGAGAGAGCAGGCAACATTCCATCATACCTTAAAATGCAGCTGAGTGATGAGATAGGTGATACACAAACACATATGTATAATGTAAGGACCTAGGACGTTATAGGTATCATATATTCTAAATTAGTCAAGTATTTCATAGCCAAATGGTACACGGATACGGAGGTATTTTCTGTAACATATATACTTAACTTTTAAAAAAAGGTCTTTATTAGTGTATAATAGCTGTACAGGGGGTTTTGTTGAGACATTTCTATACATATGTACAATGCACCCCAGTAAGGTTCATCTCCTCCATTATTCCCTCTTCCCCCCATAACATATATTAATGCTGTATTTTAATATTAATAATATATAGTTTCATCCTGGTGATGAAACTGAAGGTTCTATCATCAAGCTACACTTTCAGCCCCAGATTATATATTTTACATACAAATCAATAAAATAAACTTATTTACAAATATATGTATATTTAAATTTAATCTTTTTGTGACTCAGGTCCTCATGCTTGCTAGGCAGGCACTTTTACTGCTTGAGCAACTCCGCCTCCCCTATAAATAAATATATAAAAATAAAATTATATATATTTATAAATAAAATCTGGCCTTGGTAGTTCAAGTTTTATGCATTATCATTTTAAAAGATAACATCAATTTATTTATAAATATATTTATGTATTATGTAAAATATAGATATCTTTTCTCTCCATATATTATTTTATGTATTATATCTGAACATTATACTAGACACAGTACATTATATATTATGCTATATATTTATGTTTAATATTACAATGTAGATATAGCTATAATATATATTGGAATTATATAATGTATTTATGATAAATATGAATATAATATTTATTCTATGCAAATACATATGTATATATAAACATACAAGGTAGGGCAGGAATGTGGTTGCACACACTTGTAATCTCAGCTACACTGGAAACATAGCTAGGAAAATTGCAGTCTAAGGCCAGCAAGAACAAAAAGTGTGAGCCCCTATTTAAAAACCAAACTAGAGCAAAAAGGGCTGGTGGAGTGGCTCAAGTGGTAGAGCACCTGCCTAGCAAGCGTGAGGCCCTGAATTCAAACCCCAGTACGACCACCACCACCATCCAATATATAATATATATATGTAAATATACATGTATACATATACAGATCTATATGTATATTACAAATTTATATATATATAATATATATATACAAAATTATATATAATATATATATAAATATACATGTATACATATACAAATTTATATGAAATAAAAAATATATAATGTAAAAACATTCCTTGTAAGTTGTTTACTTTAGAGTCACAGTGATTTCCTGTAGGCAGCTGAAATCCACAGGATTCTTGAAAAGGGAGAGGTAACTAACACATTACTTTCAAATGGAACAGTTTTTATGACATGGAAAGAAAATGAACAAAGTTGACATCATGCCACCACATTTTGCAGAAATCAAATGCAGTCATTGAGCCCAACCCAGGAACTGAGGTTCGAACCCAGGCCCTCAGGCATGCTAGGCTAGTGCCCTACCACTGGGCTATAGCCCCAATCCTCCCTAAACCTGTATGTATGAGGCACCTTTGGTGCAGTACCAAGCACTGTTTCAGGAGCCCCTGCCCTTGGGGAGCCTTCTGTTTTCATTGTGGTGTCTTTTTATTTGTCTGTTTGTTTTGGTGGTACTCGGATTTGAACTCAGGGCTTCATGCTTGTTAGGCAGGCGCTCTACCACTTGAGTCACTATGCTAGCTCTTTGGGGAGGCTTCTGGTGGGGGAGATGGTGACTGAGAAAGAGACAATTAGTTGATAGTGTATGTCACAGAGTGCTAGGCGCTCTGAGGAGAGGATGTGATGGAGATTGTTTTGGTGGAGGGAGCTTTTCCATAGGTGGACAGGAAAGATCTCATTCGGTAAAGACCTGAAGGGGTTTGGGAAGTGGGTCAGTGGCTCTCTGGGTGTGAAATCATTCCAGGCAGGAGGAATTTCACTTACAAACATCTTAGCACATGCAGGACTTTTCAGGATGTGAGAAAATCTGAACCATACCTTGCTTTAGTAAGTAATATCTCCCCCCTCTTTTACTGGGGTTTGAACTCAGGGCCTCCTGTATGGTAGGCAGGCGCTCTACCTCTTGGGCCACACCCCTATCCCTTTTTTGCTTTAGTTATTTTTCAGGTAGGGTCTTGCATTTTTGCCTGGGGCTGGCCTCAGATCCGATCCTCCTACCTATGGCCCCTCGTATAGCTGGGGCCACGGGTGGGTGCCACCACACCTGGCATTATTTATTTATTATTATTGTTTTGCGATGCTAGGGATTGCACCCAGGACTTGGTGCATGCTATGCAAACACTTACCACTGAGCTATGCCCCATTCCCATGCATGACATTTTTAAGGTTGCTTAAAGGTCACAATTTGGAGAAATGTCAGCAAACAGCAATTTTGCATTTGCAGTTTCTTCTTATATTCGAGAACCCATTCATTTTCTTATGCTCTTAGCCAAATTTAGGTTACAGACATTTTTGGAGTTCCCTGATCAATTCACAGGTTTCGGGGCCAGTGTATTTCAAATGTCTGGATGGGTGTGCAGGGATTCCAGTCTCTTGAGTCAGAAAGGCTGTGGACCAGAAAGGGGCAGGAAGTTTCCAGATGAGTTCTGGGCATCTGGGCAGGGAGCTGGCTCCAGGCGCTGCATACCTGAAACCAGGTGTGTTCTGTATACCTGCACACTTCCTGTTTGCCAGCTGGGCCAGGCCTGGCAGCCTCATTCTTTAAGTCTCCCAACTCCAAGTTCCTCTGTCTCCTGTCCTTGATAGTGGGAGTGAAAGTGAACGATTGCAAGGATGTGGTTATTTTGGGGAGCTCAAGGTGGACACAGGTCAGCCAAAGGTTAACTAAGTCATCCTCATGCCTCTGGGTCCTTTGGGATAATTTATTTGGGCAGAAAGGCAGTAAGAATCAGGAAAGGGACTGGGGTCCCTTGAGCAGGGGGGGGCAGACACCTGCACACAGACCACAGGTGCACAGATGGTGGGGAGGGTTTCTCACACTTGACATTGAATAAATGATGCTGTGCCCATCCTAGACCCTGGAGACTCAGAGACCCAGGCCCCACCCTGCCCTCTAGAGCTACAAGGAACATGTGTGCAATGAATGAAGAACATAATTTCTAATAGTAATCAATGCAGGTGATAAAACGGGAAGATGTGATAAAGAAGGCAGGAGGGGGCAGGTTGTTTTAAATAGCAAAGTCAGGAAGGCGGCTTCCAGGGGTGGTGACCTCCCCTCCATACTGAGGGGAAGAAACCTCAGTATGGAAGGGGGTGGTGTTGCAAAGATTTGGAGTCTCACTGCTGGGGTACAGCAAGTGCAAAAGCCTAGCCATCGCTTGGCGTTTGCTTTTAGCATTTTACATTGTCAAGAAGTTGATGTGGCTAGAATGCAATGAGCCAGGAACACACAAGGAGGGTGGGGAGACCGGCAGGGGAGAGACCGCGCAGGAACTGGCGCGCCTAGAATTTTAATCCAGTGCAGGATTAAAATCGGAAGGATTTTTAAACCGGGGAGGGGCGTCATCTGATTTGTGATCATTCAGGCAAAAGTAGGAGCGGAGAAAACTTCCGTATCGTATAGGAACACACCTAGAGGAGCGCGCCCAGGTACGCCCAGGTACACCGACACGCGTGACGCACACAGACCCATTTGCTCAGTCATTCGGGGTGACCTCTTCGACCCCCGCGGACAGACTTCCAGATCCCTCTTGTCCTGGATCTGCCCAGGACCCCCCACTCACCTGGGCCGGACCTGCGGGGCTCCTACGAGGCTGGGACCAGGCACAAACTTGAGGATCTGCGACTCGCTGGTCCTCTCTCCCCGCCCCAGCCAGGCGTAGCCTCCCCAAGCCGCACCTAGCTGGAACCAGACCCAGGTACCTGGCCCGCCACTAGGTCCCGTCCCCGAGCAGACTCCGCCCCAACAGAAATGCCCAGGCTCTCGCCCCGCCCCCTTGGAGGATTTCCTCGCTAGCCACGCCCCCTGTCGGTCTCATTGGATTCCCCGCAGACTCAGCCTCCTTGGGAACTCCGCGCGTCCCTTCCTTCTAATAGCCCCGCCCCCTTAGAACGTCTCCCCGCCCCTCCAACTGGCCACGTCCACTCTGTACCCTCTCCCTTAGGAAACCAGAATGGTTTTCAACCCACGCCCCCGCCTTCTATCCCAGGCTGGCCATGGCCCCTTGGGATCCGGGTGGCGTTCGAGATGTCTGTCTCGTCCCCCACACCCAGGGTTCCGGATGGGGGTGGGGCGGCCGGGGTTGGTGGCAGCTGTGACGTAGAGAGGGGTGTGCTTCCTGCAGATCGCCCCCCTTTGTTTCCAGGAAAGAAGCCCTAGTTGGGTGGCCGGTTTTGTGGAGAGACCTGTGGGGAAACACGACGGCGTCCGCCAGTGACGCGAAGGAGCTGGGCTGGACTTTGGAACAGGATGAGGGGACAGCTTCAGGTGGTTTCCTAGGTGGCAGGAAGGAAGGGAGCTTCCTTCATTATGTGTGAACAAGCAAGAGAAAGGTGTATGCAGGGAGAGAGACTTCTCTGGCCACACTTATTAAAAGCTCATTATTATGAGAAGTCTTGAAAGCAGAAGCTGCAGTACTCATTGAGCGCTTGTTATATACCAAAACGGTTCTGCTTGCTTGGCCTGCCTCAATGCATTTAATTTTTCACTTAGGGAGGTAGGCGCTATTTTTGTCACCCTTATTTTCCCTAAGGAAAATCTGAGGCACGGGAGAGCTAAACCATTTGTCCGTATTTACCAAGCTTGTGAGTGGTCCAGGTGGGATTCAGAGCCAGATCCCTGAAACGTTATCCTGTTCGCCTGGCTTTACCCTGGCAGCCTGCCCTTCTCTGACCTCCACGATCTTTCTGTGTGCAGTTAGAGTAAATTGTTGTCCACTTTACAGATGAGGAAAGCGATACCTAGAAAGTCAAGGCAGTTTGATCGAATGGCAAGGTTTCGAAGCCTATATGATTGCAAAACAGATTTTTTCCAGGCTGTGTTCTTCCCTCCGCCCCCACCGCCCTCTAATTTAAATCAGGTTCAGACCTGTCCAGTGAAGGGGTCTAGCGCCTCCTCGTGGTCATAATGAATTAAAAAGAAAAGACAACGGGAGCCGAGCAGATGGAGGAGAAGTGGGCGATAATTTACCACCTGGTTGTGGGGGAGACCTCCCAGTGAAGATTATTTCCGGTCGTGATAAGCTAAGGATCAGAAAGGAAGTACATGCTTGATAAATGACACTATTCTAGACAGAATAGGATAGACAGAAAGGGATAATGTTCTTGGGTTATGGTGTGGCATGGCCTTGGTGAGACCAGGGATGAATTTGGGATAAATGTCAGAGGTGGAGCCAATAGGGCTTTCCAAAGTTTATTCAGTCAATAAATGCGTATGGAACAGGTGTAGGTGTAAGGTGTTGGATGGGGAAGAGTCAACCACAGCAACAAAAAAGCGAGACAGAAATTTCCAAATAGTAAGTAAAATTGTCCTTGTATTTATTATATGCTCTCCACCCCGGGGAGATTGGTTCTGAGACCCCAAAAGATTCTGAAATCTGCAGCTGCGCAAGTCCCTTGTTTAGGGAATAGTGACAAAAGTCTGTGCATGATTAGTACAGATATAATTTTTTGGAGTATTTTCCATCTGTGGTTGGTTGAACCCAAGAATACCTAGTCCACAGGTAGAGAGGGCTGGCTGTGTAATAAATACCAGGTTTGTCACACAGTGATCAAGATTAATGTAGGGAAGTGGATAGGGTGTGATGAGATGGGAAAAAGCTGTGATTTGAAATGGGAAGCTTTGCCAAGGCCTGATGAGAAGGTGACATTTGAGGAAAGACCTGTAGGAGGTGTCTGGTGTGTTGGAAGAACAGCAAGGAAGCCTGTGTGGCTGGAGCAGAGTGAAGCGAATGACAGAGGAGCAAGGGAGGAAGGGAAGCAGGGAAGGACAGGGCAGGTCTTACAGGGCCTGTGGGACGATTTGGGCTTTTACCATGGAGGGCTCTGGGTAGGGGAGAGTTGGGTAGACGCTGATGCTCCGGGCGCCCTCTGGCTGCTTCAACGAGACTGTGAGAGACCAGGGTCAGAGTCAGGGGACCAGGATGAGGTGACTGTACTGGTCCAGACAGGCGGTGATGGGGCCCAACCAGGGACCGGGGTGGAGGCAGGAGAGGGGGTGAGAAGTGGAAACTGCACTGCTCCTTTGCAAACGGACTGGATGAGGACGAAGGAGCAGGAGTGGCCTCACAGTCCGGCTGGCCTGCGACTCTCCAGCCCCTGGGTGCAAGACCTGCGTCGAGTGGGTGGAGGAAGGCCTGGGGCGGGGCTGCGCTGCAGGTGCTCCCCCCCCCGCCCCGCAGCGCCTCTCCATCCACCCCCTCTGGGCGACAGTTACAGGCACAGAAGAGGAAGTGGTAGCCCTGGTTGTCGCTCCCGGGGCGGGAGGGCGGGCTGTGGGTGGTGGAGGCTGCGAGGGTGCACGGGCCACCCGGGCAGGCCGAAGTCATGGAGCTGTGGCGGCAGTGCACGCACTGGCTCATCCAGTGCCGGGTGCTGCCCCCCAGCCACCGTGTGACCTGGGAGGGGGCTCAGGTGTGTGAGCTGGCGCAGGCCCTCCGGGATGGCGTCCTCCTGTGCCAGCTGCTCAACAACCTGCTACCCCACGCCATCAACCTGCGCGAGGTCAACCTGCGTCCCCAGATGTCCCAGGTGAGCCTGCCACTGGCTGGCATTGGCCGAGAGGCCTGGAGGGTGGGGTGGGTTGACACAAATGGGGTCAAGGCGCTCCTCTTCTGGGCCAGCAAAGTATGAGGGGAGCCATGCTTCCAGGTCCAGGACTGTCCAAGGGGTTGAGGGTCTCACTCTGGGATCCTGGGCTGGTCCCCCAAGGGTAACAGGCCCCCTGAATGGGTTAATAGGCTCTGAGTTGGCCCAACTCTAGGTTGAGAACTGGCCAGCCAGGGGTTAGCCCCCAGCCCCTAGGCTGACTCTACTAGGACCATCTAGGGGGCCCTGGCATCACCTAGATGACAACAAGGGACTTGCAGGTTTTGCTTCTTTTGAGCCCCCCCCCCCCAGATCCCGGCTGTGGGGGAGGGCCTCCAGTGACTTCTTCCCCAACATGTGCCTCCTCCTTCTGGGCCGGAGGCGCTGGGCCCCTTCCTTCCCCTGACATCTTCCTTCCCCTTGGCTTCCTGCCTGGCCTGGGGCCGTGTGGCGTGTGGGGGCTGCAGCCCCAGGGTTCTGGGCTCTCTGTATCCACCTCTGAGGGGGACATTGAGGCACAGCCTGGTCCTGGACTTGAGAGTAGGTCTTGGGGGCCTAAGAGAACCAGTTTCTCTGCTGGGATGTCTATACCCATGGCTCCCCCACCTCTTTTCTGGCTCCATCAGGGGCTCAGGAAATGTATTTAAACCCCTATTTGAATGTGGTTGGGGTGGGGGTGGCAAAGGGACAGGTCTCCACCATGTGGTATCTTCTCTGCTTCCCTGTGATTACCGGGTGCTGGGTGGATGTCACTGGGCTGGTGGCGCCCCATCTGCCCAGGGGTAGGAGGAGATGCAGCCCTATCCTGGGAGTCTTAGGGGACACTCACCTGCCCTGGGTTCTGAGGGACACAGTCTTGCCCTGGACTCTGAGGAACAGGGGATGTGAGGGACATGGCTCTGCCCTGGAACCTGAGGGTCACAGCCATGCCCTAGAGTCTGGAGACATCTGCCAGCTGGCTTTAACACCCCTAGACCAGGATGACAGCCCCAACCCAGGAAGCCGGCATGGTGGGCAGTGGTCGGCTGGGCCTGAGGGACCACAGGCAGCTGGGGAAGGGGAGGTAAGAGGTCAGGGAGGGGGATCTGGGGTCTCTGGGGGGCTTCCCAGAACCATCAGTGGGAACTTGGCAGCTCCTTCCTCCTCCTCTATTTCCTTAGTGCCAGGGGACCCCTCCTTGCTAGTCCTGCTTACCCCCAATCCCCGAACTGTGGCCAGTCCCTCTGGCCACAGGTTATTTGAAATTTGCCTACATTTGCTTGACCTCTGGTGGCTTCCAGAGCATGAGGAAGTAGCCACAGGATCTCCAGGTCCCTGCCAGTTGAGGTGATGCTTCACTAGCAGCTAGAGGGAAAGCAGTGAGACTTACAGATAAACTGCCACCCCTGGGGTGTGTCTTAGCCATGGCTGATTTTCTGAAAGGCAAGTGTGCATGGAGCGAATCGCTATGGGAGCAGCTGTACTCCAGCAAGATCTGAATTCCCTGTATGAGACAATGCTGGGTCTGGCCCTTAAAGTGCTCTTGAACTTGAATAGACAGAAAACGATTCTCAGCTTGTGTGATCTGGGGTGAGGGTAGGACATTGCCTGGAGTCAGGCTTTTTGCAAGAGGGGATATTTGTGCTGGGTTTTGAAGAGTTAGTAGGAGTTTTCTCAGGGTTCTGACTTCCTGTCCCCAGCTGTGTTGGGCCCCAGGCTGGGAAGGAAGGCACCCTGACTCTCCTCGTCTGGGAGCTCTGTGCTTTCCTGTGTAGTACATAGAGGGGAGGTGTATGGGAACTTGTGATACAGCAGAAGAAGGTGCCACAGGGAAAGTCTCTCTGGGTTTCTGGTTCCTGTGTGTGTACAGATTTAAGCTAGGGCCAGGAAAGGACCATGGGATGTGGAGGGGTGGAGAGAAAAGGCTCCTGATGGCAAAATGGCATAAATAGGGATGTGGGGGCTAGAAGTAGAGAGCTTCCTAGTTTCTCTTCATAGTCTCTCTCATTGCACAGTTGTTTAAGGAAGAGGGAAGAAATAACACATCCACCCATCCATCCATCCATCCATCCATCCACCCATCCATCCATCCCTTTATCCACCTATCCATCCATCCATCCGTCCGTCCGTCCGTCCATCCATCCATCCATCCATCCATCCAACAGTAAATCACATGCCAGGTCCTGTTCTTGGTGCTGGGGACAGTGGAAATCAGACATTACAGCCCATTTTTAAGGAACTTGCATTCTAGCAGGGAAAGCTGACATAGTAAATAAGAATATATATAAATTGTCGGGAAGTGATGTGTGTTATGAAGAAAACAAACATGAAAGGGGCATTGGATTGGAGGGGGTGCTTTTTAGTAGGGGGTTCAGAAGGCTTCACTGATAAGGTGACATTGGAGTAGATGCCTGAAGAACATGAAGAAGTCATGTGGATCTGGGGAATCAGTGTTCCTGGCAGGGAGCACTGCTAGTGCAGAGGTCCTGTGGCAGGAGCGGGCTGGTGCCTGTGCATTCAGGGCAGTGGCTGACCCAGCTGGTGGTAATGGTGGGGCTGGTCAGACTTGAGTGAGTGCTCAAATCAGCTGGTTTCCCCAAAGTCTGAGGCCCAGAGCAAGGATGATACACCATCATGGGCAGGCAGGGTGATGCCTACATACCGCAAGTCCCCTTCACTCCTCTCTTGGAGGCCAAGGGGGTGGAGCAGAAGGGTGGGTTATCGGAAATATCTATCAGAACATAGCTCGTTAGACTCAGAGGGGGCAGGGACTGGGTCAAGAAGTTGCCAAGGTCCCCCTGTAGTTAATGGCAGTGCCAGTGGGTTCGGTGTGGTGCATCTATAATCCCAGCTACTCAAGCCTCAGTTTCTATCTTAGTTGTTCTCAACCACAGGGAGTTTGCCACCCCCACCAGATTTTGGTATAATTTGGAGACAATTTTTGTCTCTACTTCCACAAAACATTTTTGCAATTTAAAAGTTCTAATTGACATATGCTAGTTGTATTTATTTGTAGGGTCAAGTATTGTGAGTTGACTCACGTACACAATATGTCACATCAAATCAGGACAATGAGGGTCTCCAGTCTAGCATCATGGTGTGTTTGGAGCCTGAGAGCCTCTCTCTTCTGATTCATAAAATCTGTAACAAGCTGTTGCAAGCTGCAGTTGCTGTGCCATGGAACACTAGAACTCATTTCTCCTACCGAACTGCATTTTGGTACCTATCATCCAACCTCCTTCCCCTGCATGCTCCTCCCAGCTCTGGTAACCACCATTCTTCCATGTTGCTCCTTCTCCTTCTTTTGGAGACGGAGTCTTGCCCTGTAGTCCAGGTTGGCCTGAAACTTGTGAGCCTCCTGTCTCAGTCTCCTGAGCACTGGGATTACAGGCATGAACCATCAAGCCTGGCTTCTCCTCTCTATGTCTAACTTCTTTAGCTGCTGCAAATGAGTGAGGGTGCACACAGTATTTGCTGGAGACATTTCTGGTTGTCACCAAAGTGCAGGGTTGCAACTGATATCCTGTAGGTGGAGGCACCCTGCAATGCACAGGGTGCCCCTGTGACAAAGAGTGGCCAGCCCAAAATGTCACATCAGTTTCCCCCCTTATCTGCCATTTCATTTTCTTTCTTTCTTTCTTTTGCGGTGCTGGTGGTTGAACTCTGGTCCTCATGCTGCTAGCAGACGCTCTGCCAGTTGAGTCACTGCCCTGGCCCAGGAATGCTTCTTAGCTACAGACGTGTGCCACGTATGATGTCTCCGTCAGTGAAGTTCTGTGTATGCTTTGAGACCCCTGGAGATTAGGAAGGAGCTGAAAATGCTCATTGCCTAGGGACATTGTAGCTGAGGAACATCAGAGTGCAACACAGTACACATGTGTTCACGAGATGCTGGCGGGCACACACTCATGTGCTGCCGGTCAGGTAGAAGTGTGGACTTGCAGTTCTGCACGATTCATAAGGCTTGGCCATGATAATAAACGAGTGTTGCCAGGCTCTGTATTTAGTTACAGAGCACTTCTACTCAATGCTAAAAAAAAGCTTACCATAAAATTCTGCCATGTGACCTTGGTAGGCAAGTTCACATTTGTCACTGACTCATCAGGAGACCACCTGTAATTTCCTTTTTAGAACTGCTGGTCTTTCTTCTTATTGCTTTTTTTTTTTTCTGTTTTGGCAGTACTGGAGTTTGAACTCAGGGCCTTGTGCTTGCTAGGCAGGCGCTCTACCACTGGAGCCACGCCTCCAGCCCTTCTTATTGATTTTTAAAAACTCTTTATATATTAGGCTGGCTTGATTTTTAAATCAGGTACTCACTAGCTTTATGATCTTGGAGAAAAAAATGTTCTTTAATCTCAATGAGCCCTGATTGTCTTATTTACAAAATGGGACATTGATAGAAATTTTACGTCAAGTGTTATGTGAGGATTAAACTTGATAAGGTGACGGTGTACACTGTCTAGGTTTGCATAAGCACTCTCTGCTGTCTCAGAACCCATCCCTGTCTTTAAGTGACACACAGCTGTCCTCCACTCTCAGTGACCAGGGAGCATGGCATACACGCCCTATGGCACTGATCTCAATTAATAATTATTTGGGGAATTTATATAAATAGATCCTCCTCATTCTTTAAAAAACAAGATACTGAGATATTAAGTTTATTTAACAAATGTTTATATTTTGTTCACAGTATATCAGGTGTTAGTCTAAATCATGGGCCAGCAAAGTACAGTCTGAGGGTCACGTCTGGACTGCAGGTGTGTTCTTGCGAATAAAGTTTTATTGGTACACAGCTATGGCCATTCCTTTATGTGTGGTGAATGGGGCAGGTGGAGTGGTTGCAACAGTGACTGTCTGGCTAATTTTTATTATTAATATTTAATATTTATTTGCTGAGGTTAGGTCTAATTGTTTCTTATGCATTAACTCATTTAGCCCCTATAACAAACAATAAGGCAGAGAGT